AGTATGAGGAAGGCCTATGGAAAATGGATGAGACGAAGTCTCTTGCTATTTGATTAGAACAGTGTAGAGACTAAAATTTAGTGGTCACAAACTATAGCCTATGTACCTCTTCTTTACATGTTTTGCTTGTATATAATATCTACACAATATGTTCCTGAATAGGCATATACAGAATTGGTCCGTTGGGTTTTAGGTTGTCATCCCCCTAACACTTTTGTCTTAGCTCGTCGACAGTGTAACACTTGTGTGATGATCTTCTCCCATTGGAAAAGCATTATCTGTTTGCATGATTTTGTACATATGGTCAAATTTCACTTCCTATTGCTTCAAGTTGATCTTCTGTTGTTGATTAATACATAATGAAGTGATTTATCTGTCACTTACGTTATTAGAATTAAATTATGAAGGATTTCTCTATTTTTAATTTATTATATTTATATAGTTACATTTTTTCCACCTTGAATTGGAAATATTGTTTCCGATTTATGTTATTTTATGTAGGGAATTGTTATTGGTTATGTTATTGAATTTGAAATTCTATTGGTTCTATAAACATTAGTGTCAAATTCATTTGTATCGTGACAATAAGTATTTGATAGTGAGATTTTGAAGGAATATTTTATTTTCCTTCCTTTATAGTTTTATATTAAGTGGTATTGATATTGCTAGACTAAAATGGTAATATTAAAATTTTACAGTGCCCTATCGTTTAATAATAAGAACGTTTTTCATTACTTATGAATTTTACAAAATCATTTCTCTAGCCCACTTAATGGCACTTCTGTACCTTTCTCTGGTCCACTTAATGGCACTTCTGTAGATATTTAAACCGTTTGTTAAGCATTTTCACAATATTTTGTCAAGATTTGGCTCATAGTGTTTATAATTGTGTTATTATCATGGACGTGGAGGTATTCAGTTGATGCTAATTTTTGTGTATGTGAAACAAAATCTCCAGTTTATGTAATGTTATTTCTGTAAACATTTAAACTGTTTAACTGTAATATTAATGTTAAATATTTTGCTAATGTCGGTCACGCGATAGTTTATAGTTCAGTTGCATGTGTAAAAAATATGTATTTATAACACATAATACATTCAATGTAGTGTTCATCATATCTGACAATAATAATGTAAAACATATAAATATATTTGTGTCAAGTAAATTATCCTGTGTATATCTAAACATTTAATGTGACATTTTCATATTCATATAAATATGTTTAATTTTTCACATCAATCTCTCATAAATAATTTCTTATATTATATACAATGTATCGATCCTTTTTGCTATAAACAATGAATTATATAATATAGAACATATTAATCTCTACAGTTAAAGACTTCTTTGAAAACAATATTTGTCAATGTCTCCACCGGTTCATCTTCTTGCAGGGCTAGCAGAATCTTGATACCTTGTCTTGAAGTTATTCTTGATAGGGCCATGTACAATTGACCATGTGTAAAGACTTGATGTTTCATATACAATCCTACTGTTTTGAGTCATTGACCCTGGCTTTTGTTTATTGCCATACAAAAGCTAACTGTCACAGGTAACTGTCTTCTCTTCAACCTAAAAGGCCACTTCATATCTGCATTTGACATTATTATTCTGGGAATTTTGACAATATCCCTAATGTTTGACCTAGTGATAATCATTGCTTGTATGGACCACTTTCCAAAATGGGTTATGATCAATCTGATTCCATTGCAAAGACCGTCAGATTGATTCAAATTACGTAGCAACATAATTGGAATGTCAATTTTCAGATGCAATTCATGTTTGGGAATGCCGGAGCAAATCAGATAATTAAGAAATTCGGTGGGATAGAGAATGTCATCATCGTTTGAGATACCTACTGCTTTGCAAGTGCTGTCTGAGCTGAAATACGTCTTTCCATCTGTTGGCAGACTCTGGGTGATATAGTCATTCAATCTATGTACTGTCTCATTTTTGGGTGTCGATATTACTCTCTCTCTCTCTCTCTCTCTCTCATATAATCAATATTATTTATTTGGGCAGATAAATCTGGAAAAATAGCGTTCATAATCATTTCTTTATGACTGGCATGTTGATCGATTTTCAAGTCTTCAAGAATTTGGATGTAACTTTCATCTTCTACAACGCCCCTTCATTCTCTGATATTAAGTAACCATTTGTCAAAAGTCTTCAAGTTATCCAATTCTATTGGGTTCACCAAGTTTGTTTTCAACCTCATGTTCTCTGTAAGTGTCAACACTGTTACATGTTTCCAAAGGGAAGATGACAATAAATAAGCCTGTATTATGTATGTTTTTTGCCTTTTGGTATAACTGGTAGAATCTGTCTAAAATCACCACCTAGGGCAACAGTGAGGCCGCCAAATATTCTATCTGCGTTTGATTGATCTTTTTCAGACAAAATATCTTTCAGATTCTGTCAAGAGCTTCAAAGCAATACCTATTTGCCATAGGTGCTTCATCCCAAATGATCAAAGTTGTTTACGCAAGTAGTTTTGCCAATTGTGTCCCCTTTTTGATATCGCATGTACTCTCCTCAGTGATATTTAAAGGAATTCGAAAACATGAATTTGATGTTCTTCCACCGAATAGCAATTCCTGTTCCACCATGTCCGTAAATAAAAAATGGTGTTCCACTTTGACTGTTGACGAAATCAAGGATCAAATCGTATACGCATCTCTAGCCATTGTTGAGACCCTTGCATATATCATTGTGCAGTTATTTCATGTTGTCGATATCATAATCCAATTCCTCAGCAATTAATCTATTCTGTGAATTCTCAAAAACGAAATAGTCCGAAATACGTCTAGACACATATCTTGATCAAGGTAATGTAGTATATCCAACAAGTAAGATTTCAAGAAACTGACCATTACCTACTGTAAGATGATCAGCAACTTTGTACTCAATTTGAAAGGAAAGATTACTCAGCTCCGAAGTAATGTGGTCCGAGGTGCCACTATCAAGGTACCATGCTGAATCAATACTGTGGTAGGGGAAGCTACAAAAGCCTGAGAGATAGCAGCAGGAACTTGTGATCCAGATGAGGAAGCTATATAAGCTTGTGACTGTGAAGAGTTTGATTTCTGTTGAAAGGAATGTGGAGGCATAGACTGAGTTTGAAAACCAGAAGATGATTGAGGTTTTTGATAGTTTATATCAAACCCATGATAACACAGTACAACATTACGACATGGCCTAATTTGCCACAAAGTTGACAAATAGGCTTGCCTCGGCCTCCACCAAAACGGTCACAACCATGACCTCTAGCATTGTACTGAAATGAAGCATGCTTATGGAAAATGAGCAGAATTTGGAGGCCTTTTGGCAACATAAAAGGCTGAACCTCCTCCTTGCAAATTGTTGAAAGTTGAATCATTTTGGTAGATGATGAAGATGATGCTGCAGAGTTTATCTAGAAGATGAAGATTGGCAGCAAATTAGAAGTTGAAGATGTCGTGGCTTGAGAAAAGGAATGCCTTAATCAAGAGTGAAGATGAAGTTCTCTGAAGTCATGGATTTGAACATTCAGTTTTAGAACAACAGTTGAGTTCGGTTGTAACTCCTTGTTTCAATCTTAAAGGCAGTTATTTAATGTAATCTTAACCCTTTATGAATCCATAAAAAGGGATTGAATGTAAAGTTGTATTATGACACATGTACGAGGTTTTTTATGAATGAAATTTATCTTTTCTCATACATGTGTTCATCTTTATGAAATTGGAAGCCTGAGACTTGATTTATTTGGCTTCCAATTTCCAACACAAATCAATTGAATAAAATGATTGTTGACCAGCTAATCTACTCTTATGAGCTTAGGGTAAAAACTGAGCTTCTTCAACAGAAATCGACTCACAGCAAGATGTCAAATTTATCACTACAGCATCGAACTCAAGACCAAGTCCTCTAAGTATGTATGACACCAATTCAGAATCAGTAACATTAATTCTAGATTTAATAATGCATCAGCCGCATCTTTCATTTTGTGTATATAGTCATCAACAGACGAAAAACCTATGCAAGTTGTTTGAAGAAAATACCTAAGATGCATAACCTGAGATTTTTCTTTAGTTAAAATGAGTTTCTCAAGAGCAATCCAAATTTCCTGTGCACTATTACTCTTTACAACATGACGCATCATCAATTCAGAGATGGACAAAATTAACCAGTTTACATGAAGTTGATCCATTCTACTCCATATATCATAATCGAGATTAAACTGAGTAACAGAGTTTGTGTGTGTACCATTACCTTGACCAGAAGTTATTGAAATGAATTATAGAGGGGGAGGTCTAGATTCGACGAGAAAATGTTCTAGATCGAATGCCCTTACGAGAGAGAACTTGGGACTTCCAGAAAGAATAGTTTTTCTAAACCAACTTAATGGTTATCGGAGGCAGAGTAGATGCATTCAATGGGGAAAAGTCAGCTGTGACCTAATGAGGTTTCAGTTGCTATATTCTCTGGCGAACTGTTGTGGCATCCCAACCCCAGAAGTCAAAAGCTTAAATTTCTTTATGTTGCATCATAACAATAATGTACGAAGTATATACTTACCACACATAATCCTTCGCTATGAGATTTTAAAGCTCTTTAAAAATTTATTATGATGAAAAAAGAATTAATTATGATGAAGGACGTACATACTCTGGCACACACATAATATCCTCTGCTGCAAAGATATGAAAACTCTTTAAAATTTTATTGTGGTTACGATTTTATATTGATCTCAAAAACAAACAAACTAGCTGCGGATTGTCGAAAATATGGTGATCACGTAGTCCTAAGTTAAATAAAATTGTGTCAAATGTGAATGGAGTTAATATATAAGACTTAACTATATTCATAAAAGTAGTGCCCAATTGATTTATTTGAACCATGGAAATGATGAGCATATTACACTTAAAAATATACAACAAGACTATAGTACAAGAATTCAAAGTTCAAATTCAAAAATACACATTGAAAATAAATCTATCTCCTAATACAATTACTGAAATCACACAACTTGCTTCATGGAACAAATGGTTTGTATTAAAGTTAGCAGTAGCAGTGTAATTCCAGCAATAGTTCCTGTGCCTTTCCATGGATTGCTGAAATAAACTCTTTTCAAGGTTGCCCTTGCACGGTTCCAGCCATCTTCATAATGGTCTTTTAGATCCCTGATAATGCCACTATAACAGGACGGACTTAAATTAACGTTAAGGCAAAGTCTGTTAAACATCCGTGCGATTGTAGCACTGTCGCCCATCAAATTTGAAATAATTCTTTCTTCAATAAGCAAATCTACATCCTTCTCCGTGTCGATAAGAGAATCCATGAAAATGATATAGTTACAAACGTGAGTTTTGAATGGATAATGACATTGTTCAAATGCCATCACATTCCGTATCACAGTTTCCGTGTTGTCAACTACTTGCAAAACGGGAATTTTTAACTCAATTCCACTAAAGTATGGAATTGGGATTTTAAAATTTCTCTGTCTTCGTTTTATATCGAGTAAACGCTCTTCTTTAAGAGCTGTAAACTTCACTCCTGATTCTTGCAGTCTGACTGCTGAAGGTAAATATGAATGGGGAGAATCATTGTCTTCAGGGTTGATATTCAACAACATATTTCTTATCAAATCAGTGAAATGATTAACGTTTCGATGATCAAGAATCTCTTGTCGTCCAGTGATCATACTACTGTCATTGAAGAAATGAATAGAAAGAGAAATGAAGTCACGGCACTCTCGTACTTGAATTCTAGATAACCTGTATAATTCTAGGAGGACGAAGAGTGGGAGTTGATTTTCAAGTAATTGTAAGTCTCGCTCTAAACCAAATTTGAAGTGTAGTTTCTTTAGCAAAAAATCATCTATCCCATCTCCAAATTTCAAGAAAAGCTCAATGATGAAGATTGCATCATACAAAATCATTGTTATAAAATCAAGACTTTTAAGAGGGGAAGTCTCTGAATAGCAATTACGAATGTGTTGCTCCTCCCTTTCAATGAAGGCAATTAAATCCTCCCATCTCTCCTCACTGATTCGTTCACCAAAGTCTTTTTTATATCTTACTTTTTGTTTTTCCATTTCAGCCAAACCCTTGTTGCCATGATGGAAAGGACCTATTGAAACTAATTGAGGAATATATGCTGCTTTATTTATTTTGCGAAGCTCTTTAGGAACCCTATAAATACAACACGCAGAGTCAGGTTCTAACTGTTCGCCTATATCAATTTTCAACACTGTGAGTTTACGCGCTTCAATGAAAGGATTTGAGAACCTCGGCCTGACTCTATCCATTTACCCTAGTAAACCATATAATATGCAAAAGTTAACAATTTATCCAAGAGCATTAACTTGAGAAAAATGAATATGCAACTTCTGATCTAACTTTCTCTTATCACAAATAACTTGTACATATTATGACGGAATGAAAGATTAATTACTAAAATACAAGTAATACTATACATCAATGTATGAATTTTTTATCTTTAATAAATTATCATCATACTGTCAAAGGTTTCTAAAAAAGAAAAATTGTATAATTTATTCAATTTTCTTGTTTCACTATAGCTGATTATCAACACTTATAAAAGAAATATAATCATACAGGGGTGAAAGTAAAATTAATTTTCCGGAGGGCTAATAAAACTCTTGAGGATTTATAAGAAAAATATAATATCCAAATTATAAGTTTAAATTTATTATAATCTAGTCCAGAAAAGAGATAGAGTTATTTTTTAATTTAAAATTGTAGATAAATAAAGAAGAGAGGTGTTGGAAGTTTCGAACAAGAGAAAAAAAAAAGCAGTATAAATTGAATTCTAACAAAAACATGTTGAGAATTTAGATAATTAAAATTATTTATTAGAGCTAATAATTAAATATTATATAATAAATAAATGCATTTTATTTATTTCTTTAAAAAATAAAAATTATTCGACTATTGTATATAACAAATTAAGCATTTTGTTAAATTTATAAGATTGAAAATATTGAAAATTCTTTTTCCAGAAATGTCCCCCGGGCTACGGCCAGGGGCTTTGGCTCCACCCCTGCTTTTATATAAATGCCTAATGTAACGGTGATTTTGAGAATTTATTTAAGTTGGATAGTATAAGGGTCAATACTATATGAGCCTGAAAAAAGACTAAAATGTACATATAAAAAAAAATGAAATATATCTTAATTATAATGTCGGAAAAGTAATATAATATGTAATTCTAGGGGTTGTTTGTTTTGTTATTTTGGATAGGATTTTGGGAATAATATTGGATAGTTAGATAGGTTGATTATTACGAGGTAAAATTTAAAAATTAACAAAAAACACCTAAGTTTACTAATTTAATTAAACACTCCAATATATATAAATTTTATAAAATAACAAAAACACCCCACCCATCTACAGTGCCAGATTCCGGCTACCACCGTTAGAATCTGACCGAGAAATGATGTTACGATGCAGACCGGTCAGATCTGACGGATAGGGCGTCGATATGGCTTTTTCTGGCCTTCGAAGGCCGCAAGAGTCCAAATTTGTTATGGCCATCCAAATCTGGCCTTTTACGGTCAGATCCACAGTGGATCTGGCCATAAAATGACAGATCGGTGAATTACCAACTAGTTTTACTCTTCAGTGTATTGTACATCAATTACCTAGGGACTCGAGACGTACCTTAGGTTAGAGTGACATTTTGCTAATCTCTTCGCTGCATTAGTTCTACTTATTGTTTGCTTTAATTTTTTTTTTTTGGTTATTATTTTCTAATATTCTACAGAGTATATGATACAAAATATATGTTAAAATAAATCAGAGGAAAACGTAAAACATGAAAAAATAATATCCAGAAGAGAAAATGTCATACCTGAATTGATCGGCTATCTACTGCTTAAAATATTTGAGAAGATGCAACCACAGAAAGGATTGAAGGTTACGGACAAAATATCACTCTGAATCCAAAATGGTTATTATAAAAGAGAGCTGATGAGTTTAGATCAACAGAACTAACTGCCAGAATATGATAATAAAATAGAGAATAGTATAAAATGCCACAAACACTTTTAGAACTTTAAGTATATCTGTGTTCCTCGAACTTTGGTAATGTGTTTACCAAATCCTTCTCGTATATATAGTAATAAAGATGTACGGAAAAGAGTTATTTCATTTGTATTTCAAAGTGATATGGAAACATATTTTCTCTTACCCAAATGTTGATTATAATTTTTTTTTTTTTTTTGAAGTAATTGATTTAGACATAAAATAAAGTACATTTAATATAAGATATAAGAAAAATGCTACAGACGTCGATACTTTGCACCGAATTTTTACACCAAACGATGTGTCCACTGAATCAGATAAGCTATGTATCATGTTAACAAATATTCCGCGAATGAAAGACCGTCTATCAAATATGGATGACAGTTTATTATTATTGGACGATCGTTTATTTGAAATGGACTCCTGTCCATATTATATAAACGATCGTCCACCTAGAATAGACATCTGTTCATAGTTTAAATTAAAAAAACTGGTCTAAATTATTTATGTATACCCGTCCTTCTATCTTTTAATATTAACAAATTTTAGTTTAATAATTTTTTTTTAATTTTTAATTAAATTGTTTAAAAATTTAAGCTTCCCAGGTTTCATTTCTCATTTGCTTTTTATTTTGTTTATAAATAAAAAAATTGAAAATTAAAAAAAAAATTTAAGAATGTGTGCAGTCCACTCATTTGGATAGACTGTCCATCCAAATGAGTGGATTGGCATCCATTCCCAAATTTTTTTTGGATGAAATGCTCTAACCATGTCTAACTGCACGTCCATACTTTTACTTAAAATCAAAATTTTTTTTTATTTCATCTAAAAATTTTATACTTAAAAAATAAATATTTCATCTAAAAATAAATATTTCATCTTAAATTAAACAATGAATGCTTGTCCACTGAATATAAATTTTTTAGACAAACGTCCATCTTATATCGATATCCGTTTATAGTAAATAGACACTCATCCATATAAGATGGACGAACGTCTATTATTTTTTTTAAATTTTTTTAGAAATAAATAGATATCCGTCCATGTAATATGAACAGGAATCTAATAAATATTGACAAACGACCATAAATGTTAGATAGTTATTCATTCATGAAAGACTTTGGTGTAATGCTGATTATCATGTCTTTTGATATAAAAATTTGGTTTCCGTATCATTACTCAAATATAATATTAGATTAAATGAGTTAATTGCGTTTAAAAGAAAAATTTGTCATAATTTTAAGGTGTCAGAGAAGAGAAAAAATATTTAAATAAATTGCAATATTTTTTGTCATTTACTCTGACGGTCAAAAAGACAAAAAGTGGGGGCAAATGTGTTACACGTTTAATTTCAAAATCGACCTTCAATCATTTTAACAAATTTATTAAAAAACTGACGTGAACCTACTAAGTTTTCGTGGTCACAAATTTTATATTTATTAAAGGCCGAACGATTTGTGCATACTCAAAGTTTATTATAACAACAAGTTGGAATTCAAAAAGTTTTAAAATGATAAATAGGGATCTTCCGTCATGTTCTGTCAGTAATTTCTGTTTATTAATAGTGAAAAGACTAAAATGTCTTTTAAAGTTTCAATTTTAGTTTTTTATAAATTTAAAAATTTCTAAAAAATCCTCTAGGTTTGCTAATTTAATTGAACACCCACATATATAAAAAGTTTGTTAAATGACAAAAACACCCCCACCACCCCCAGTGCCAGATTCCAGCCACCATCGTCGAAATCTGGCTGGAAAACTGCATTACGACACAGACCCGTCGGATCTGTGTCGTAACGTGCCGATCTGGCCTTTTCCGGTTAGATCCGCCACTGATCTGGCTGAAAAAGGCAAGATCTGGCCGTCGAGCAGCAGCCAGATCTGGCCTTTTCTGGCTAGATCCGTGGCTGATCTGGCCGAAAAAGGCTAGATCTACTGCCAGATCTGACCGTCGACACCGCAGATGGAGTTTTGCGGCGTCGACGGCCAGATCTAGCCGTAAATCTGGCCTTTTCCGGCCATATCAGCCACGGATCTGGCCTTATGGCCGGAAAAGGCCAGATCAACGCGTTACGACACAGATCCGACGGGTCTGTGTCGTAATGCAACTTTTCGACCAGATTCCGGCGGTGGTGGCTGGAATCTGGCACTGCGAGTGGTGGGGGTGTTTTTGTTATTTTATAAAATTTTTATATATTAGGGTATTTAGTTAAATTTGTAAACTTATGAGGTTTTTTAGAAATTTTTAAATTTATAAAAAACTAAAATTCAAACTTTTAAGGGCATTTTACTCTTTTCACTATTAATAAACAGAAATCATTAACAGAATATAACGGAAGGTACCTATTTATCGTTTTAAAACTTTTTAAGTATCAACTTGTCATTACGACAAACCTTGGGTCCCTGTAAGTCGTTCACCCCTTATTAAATAATTGAAAACTATGTGGTGGCTACCAATCTTTTTCGAAGCTAGAAAATGTGGTTCTCAAAACACAGCGGCCCCCACCCATTTAAATATAGACCTTGACTTGTCTTCCATCTTTCATTGTCCACGATCCATCATATAATTTGATAGCCTTTTTTTTTTTTTTTTAAATAATAAATCTTTGTGTGTTTAACCTTTTTCAATAATATTATAGCAAGAATTTTTTTATATAAT